CAGTCTGTGGAATGCAGCTAAAGCAATGTTTAGAGGAAAAGTACTAGCTTTAAATGTTTACATCAGAAAAGAAGTAAGGTCTAAAACTAAGAACCAAACTTCCACTTTAATAAACTAGAAAAGGGAAGGGAATCTAGCTCAAAGTAGAAGGAAAGAAATAAAATGGTTCTATTTCAGTGAAATAGAAAACAAACAATAGAGAAAATCAAGGAAAACGAAAGCTGCTTCTTTGAAAGAACTAATAACCTTGGTAAATCTGTAGCTAGACTGATCAGAAAAGCAGAAGGAAGACACAAATCACCAATACCAGGAAGAAAAGCGGAGATATCATTTTAAATATAACTCATTAAGATAGAATGTAAAGTACAGTGCACAAAAGCAATGAAATGTTTCAACAACCTTATGCCAACGCCTCAGTTATATTAGATGAAATAAGTAATTCCTTGAAAGATACAAGTTACCAAATTGTCACAAGAAGAAATAGAAAAATCTGAGTAGTGCTTTATCTATTACAGAAATTGAAGTTGTAATTTTCCCACAAAGAACTCCCCAGGGTTTCACTGGTGAAATGTATCAAAGGTCTAAGGAAGAAATAATGTCGTTACACAAACAACTTCAGAAAATAGATGTGGGGAGATTAATTCACAACTCTTTGAGAGCAATGCTACCATGATATCAAAACAAGACAAGACGTCCTCTCACTTCTAATGAAAATTGTATAAGATGCCCAGCAATAAAGCAAGAAAAAGGAGCAAAGTCTATACAAACTAGAAAGGCAGAAGTAAAATTCTTTGATTATCTACATAGAAAATGCTGAAGAATCTAGAATAAAGCTACTGGAACCAATAAGTGAATTCATCTAGGTTGCTGGATACAAGGTCAATTAACAAAAATCAAATGTATTTCTACACACTGGCAATGACAACTGGAAAAGGCTTTTAAAAAACCAAGACGGAAATCAAAAAGCGTAAAATATAAAATTTTTGGTAAATTAGACTTAATCAAAAAAATTTTAATCTGATCTTCAAAAGACATCATTAAGAAAATTAAAAGGTAAGCCAGGAACTCGCTGTCGGCCTTCGGCTGCTTCATCACCACCGCCTTCAAAGACCAGAGCAAGTCTCGCGCATCACGCTGAAAAACGTAGAAGACGTCACGTATTTGAAAGATATGAAAAAAAATATTTTTTATTTGATGATGGAAATGGTCTCAAGGGAAACAGGAATGTCACTTTAACCCTATCTTGGAACGTTGTACCGAATGCTTGCTGGAACTCTACCTCATGTGACAGGATCAGGACATGTATCTGTCCCATTTCCAGACACATATGAAATAACAAAGTTATTAAATTATTCTGAATTTGAAACAACATATTTTTACACCTAACGAATTGTAACTCATTTATCTCTTCCCTTGCAGCATCTTCATCTGTTATTTGGTTGTTAATTTCTTTCTTTTTGGTGTAATAATGAACATCAAAAGGCATATTTGAGGGGAAAGGTTAATGTGCTACTTAAACTTAATTTTACAAGCAAAAACAAAGGCCACCAGAGTGGAGTATTACAAGAATAAGACAACCACATAGTAAGGATTTGTAAAATATTTATATTTGAAGTGTTCCCCGTATTTCCATTATTCTTCATGTAATATGAAGTGAGCACAAAGGGTGGTTAAAACTTTCAGGTGCCTGTGGAGTTATAAGAACTCTATTTATGCTTTGCATTTATGCAAGTTCACACTGGATGTGATTTAGAAGCAGACATCCTCTTTTATATTTTAGGGTATGTCTGAATACTGGAAAAATTAATACAGTTATTGGTGAGAAGCCTGGTTATAGCCAAAATTGATGAGATTTTATTTCATTTGTCTTAGGAATGCCCACAATGCTTGTTTTTCTTACAGGTGACTAGCAACTTTCTCCACTAAAGACTAAATACCACTTTATATGCTATAAATCACTCCAAATCATTTTAAGTCTCTTAAGCCAAAAAGAAAAAAAAATAGGTAAGCCCAAGACTAAAAGGAAGTATTTATGGGCTTCCGTGGTGGCGCAGTGGTTGAGAGTCCGCCTGCCGATGTAGGGAACACGGGTTCGTGCCCCAGTCTGGGAAGATCCCACACGCCGTGGAGCGGCTGGGCCCGTGAGCCATGGCCGCTGAGCCTGCGCGTCCGGAGCCTGTGCTCCGTACGGGAGAGGCCACGACGGTGAGAGGCCCGCGTACCGCAAAAAAAAAAAAAAAAAGGAAGTATTCATAATAAATATATGTTTGGGGGAATTCCCTGGCGGTCCAGTGGTTAGGACTCAGCACTTTCACTGCTGAGGGCCCGGGTTCAATCCCTGGTTGGGGAACTAAGATCCCACAAGCCGTGTGGTGCAGCCATAGCTAAATAAATAAATACATGTTTGGGAAGAGACTTTGACCTAGAAGATAAAAAAGACTCTCATAAGTAAATAACACAAACCACCCAATTTTAAAATGGGCAAAAGATGTGAACAGACACATCACAAAAAATAATACAGATGCTCAGCCTCATCATTCAGCAGGCAAATATAAATTAGAAGCATAAAGAGACATCGCTATGTGCCACTGGAGCGGATGAGGGTTTGGAACCGTGACAACACCACATGCTGGTAAGGATGTGGACCAGTGGAACGCTGCCAGTGCAGGAGTGTAAAAGTCTACAATCACGATGAAGAACTTTTTGGCAATTTCTCATGAAGTTAAAATTCACGTATCTTATAATCCAGCAATGAAATTCCTAGGCATTTACCCAAGTGAAATAAAGAGGCACGTCCAAATAAATACTTTTACAGAAATGCTCATAGCAGTTTTATTCATAACAGCCAAAGCTGGAAACCCAAATTTCCATCAACAGATGAATGAATAATAAATGATGCTTACGCATACAATGGAACACTACTCACAAAGAAAAAGAGCTATGGAAACACAGAACTACTCAGCTGAGTCTTTAAAACATGCCGAAGTGAAAGACGTTTGGATTACACAGGATTACATGCCATATGAATCCATTTATATGAAGTCCTGGAACAGGCATAACGAATCCACACTAGCAGGAAGTGGTTACTTGGGCCTGAGGTGGGATTAACTGCGAAAGGACAAAAGGGAACATTTTGGGGTGACAGAAGTGTTATCCTTGATCATGATGATGGTTACACAGGCGTATGGATTTGTCAAAATTCTGTACACTTAAAATAGGTGTTTTACTGTATGGCAACTGGGCCTCAACCAAACAAAGTTGGTTAAAATGGGCTGGTAATGTCTGCTTCTATACCATTTGAGACATCTCCAGTCATGGTGAGTTTTCCAAAAGATGGAGCACTGTATGCTCTTTTTGAATTATTTACCCCCTCAAGGCTTCTAGGGTTGCTGGAGTTTAAGAACTCAAGATATACCCTCATGGGCAATCCATTATCACAGCATTTCAAAACTGGTTGTTTTGTTAATGTTCAGATAAAAGATATTCAGAGGGAACAACTAACAGTTCTGCTGTGCAATAAAACTGGCCTGCTTTCGAACAGCCGTACCCAGAGAGGGATCCACCAGTCCTGCCGTTTCCCCAGATTCCCTCCCAGATCACCCTCTGCTCTAGCTGACAGATGTCTACTTATCTCTGTAGACCAGTTTGCTGTCACCTCCTCTGCGAAGCCGTCCCAGTTGCCCCATGCCAAATTAGTCACCTCCTTACCTATGCTCCTGCACAGCTGGGAACACACTTCTCTTTCAACACTTAACTCAGCGTACCGTGACCTTCCTGCCTCCCCCATCAGACTCTGGACGACTTCAGGACAGATGGTGTCTCATTCTTCTCGGTTTCCCAGTATTTAGCACTGGTCCTTTTAGATAATTACATTTTCAAATCAATGACAAAGTGAGCCAGAGAGCAGGGAGAGGGGAAGACGTTGGCTCAATCATGGAATGGCTGAGACGGGAAAAGTCATGTAGCGCACCAGGACTGTGTGCCCTTTGAATGAATCAGAAAGATACACGGATGACTGACTGAGGACAAGCCTCCCCCAGAGCAAGTGGAGAGTCATGGACAAGCCGTGAAGGCAAAAACACAAGGGGCGCCATCTCACTCTGGCTCCTGCCTGCAAGTGCTGAACGCAGTATGAGCCGAAGACGCCAGCAGGGCCGAGGGGAAGTATTTACGACAGACCAGCAGATTACACAAAACAGCAACAGCAAAAAGAGCATCCGAAAACATATTTTAAAGCGCAGTATAGAGAGGACAAGCCAAGTACACAAGGACGGGGGTGTGCTTTGTACTGCCTTGCTCTAGACGTCAGGGACACATATATCTATCAGATACACTCACTGTGCTCCACGAGTTAACACTGTAACAAGGAAAGAGAGAGGATCTGAAACACTATTTTGACATATCAGAGTAAGCGCAGCAACAGAGGTGAAGGACCACCGAGGAACGGAAGCAGAGGGGTAGCGGGCTGAGCCGAGAGTCAGCCGGGTGAGGAGAGGGGGCATTCCAACCAGGACAGAGGCAAGGAGGCAGGAGCGGCCTGGGTAAGTGGGGACGTCCAGCAGTTAGTGCTGCCGCAGTGCCAGCGGTGCGGCAGGGAGTTAACCGGCGGGAGAAGAGGCCCCAGGAAGCAAAAGGCCTTCGGATGCAGGATGGGGAGATTGGAACTTATCCTAAGGACGACAGGGAACCAATTTGTGGTTTTAGATAAGAAAGGATGTTTCTCCAACTTGCCTTTCTGACAGATCAAAATATGCTAAGGAGGGGCTTCCCTGGTGGCGCAGTGGTTGAGAGTCCGCCTGCCGATGCAGGGGATGCGGGCTCGTGCCCCGGTCCGGGAGGATCCCATATGCCACGGTGCGGCTGGGCCCGTGAGCCATGGCCGCCGAGCCTGCGTGTCCGGAGCCTGTGCTCCGCAACAGGGAGAGGCCACAACAGTGAGAGGCCCGCGTACCGCAAAAAAAAAAAAAAAAAGAAAAAGAAAAGAATGCTAAGGAATACTCTTTTAAAGTGATACGATTAGGTACATAATTCTACTTTAGAAGGGATTTAACTCTGGGGTGAACTGTAATTGTGCAATGAAACAGAAGAACCTTCTCCCGAGGCCAAGCTCCTCCCCCCAGGCTGGTCCAGCTCCAAGTCAGCTGTCCAGTCACGTGGCTCTCCCGCGGGCACGTGCTCCCAGCGGAGGAGGAAGACAGCGGGCCGGCTGGGCAGCCAAGTGGGAGGTGGCAGCCCACTCCAGAGGCAGCCCTGCCGGTGACTCTGGGAAATGGTGACACGTCCAAAGCCGCATGACTTAGGGCTCACACCGCTCGCTTCGACTATCACTCAGTGAGTTGGAGAATAGTTACAAGTCTGTGTGCTCCCCCTGACCTACATACTTCTCACCCAAATGTATGGGGGTCTGACTCAAGGGAAGTCCCTCTTGGTGAACCTCTTGGCTGCCTTTAAAGTTTGGAGTTGAGGTGAACTCTGTCCTATACTGACTACATTCATAGAGTTTGTCTTCAGCATGAATTTTCTGGTGCTGAAGGAAGTTTGACCTCTGAATAAAGCCTTTCCCACAGTAACTACATACATAGGGCTTCTCTCCAGTGTGAATAACCTGGTGTAGGAGGAGCTTGGAGCTCTGAATGAAGGCTTTCCCACAGTCCTTACACGCAAAGGGCCTGTCCCCAGTGTGGATCTTCTGATGCTCAGTGAGATGGGCTTTCTGGAGAAAAGCTTTCCCACATTCCTTACACTCATACACCCTCTCTCCAGTGTGGATCTTCTGGTGTCGAATAAGGTACGAACTCAGAAAGAACGCTTTCCCGCACTCATTACATTCATAGAGCTTCTCTCCAGTGTGGATCCTCTGATGCTGAGTGAAGTTCGACGTCTGGCTGAAACGCTTCCCGCACTCGTTGCACACGTAAGGCCTCTCTCCAGTGTGGATCCTCTGGTGCTGGATGAGCTTCGAGCTCCGGATGAAGGCCTTGCCGCACTCGTTGCACTCGTAGGGCCTCTCCCCGGTGTGGATCCTCTGGTGCTCGATGAGGTCCGAGCGGTGGCGGAAGGCCTTCCTGCACTCCTCACACTCGTACTGCCTCACCTCCGTGTGGACCTGGTAATGCCGGATGAGGCTGGAGCTCCGGATGAAGGCCTTGCCGCACTCGTTGCACTCGTAGGGCCTCTCCCCAGTGTGGATCCTCTGGTGCCGGATGAGCAGCGAGCTCTGACTGAAGCCTTTCCCGCATTCCTTGCACTCGAAAGGTCGCTCCCGGGTGTGGACGCGCTGGTGGCGGATCAGGTCTGAGCTGTGACAGAACGCCTTCCCACACTGAGCACACTTGAAGGGCCTTTCTCCTGCGTGCGCTTTCTGATGCTCCACAAGATCCGCGTAGAGAACGAAGTCCTTCCCACACGCGTTACACACGTAGAGTCTGTCTCCGCCGTGAGCGCGCGGATGCTCCACGAGGTGGGAGCTCTGGCCGAAGCCCCTCCCACACTCGTCATGTCTGTGAGATTTCTCCCCAGCCTGAGAAACCTGATGTCTGACCAGGTCCGAATTAAATGGGAAGCTTCCGCAAGCCTCGCGCTGGTGGGCCTCCTCTTCGATCAGCTCTCTCTGAAGCAGGAGGAGGTTTGAGCTCAGGACGGGGCTTCCCCCTGACTTACTGCCCACCTGCGCTGCCTCTCCTGTTTGGATCTTCCAGTGGGTAACTGTCACCTGCTTGAAACCTCCCTCCTGGGAGGGGCAGCTCCGCAGGCTCTGCCCGTCCAGGTTTCCCAACAGCCCCCCTAATCTGGGTTCAGAGCCCCCACCAGGCGCAGGGGCAGCGAGCTCCATCACTGTGAGGGCTTCGGACACTGTCTTCTGCAGATTTCCATGCTCAGAAATTCAGGCTCCGGAGTCACCTTCTAGTCACCCGTCAGTCTGCAATCAAAGAGAGTACGGTTATCTTTACCCTTCCTTAACAGACGGGAAACTGCTGGAGCGGGAGGGCGGGTAGCAAAACGCATATCCAAGGAGTGGGAGAGAGGAAAATGTTCCCTCTGCCCACACTCCCGGCCCAGCACCGTGCTCGGCTCACCCCGCCGGCCTCTCCGCTGGCGAAGGCCTCTTTGGGCTCCACCGCTAACACCAACTCCAGGGGACAGGCTGGCCGATGGCAGATGGGCAGGGATGTGGCTTGGACTCCACTCAAAAATCAAGACATATTCCAAAGAAACACAGATGGATTGCTCTTACCACCTCTGCGCTGCCCCTCCTTCCCCAGCCTAGATGGTCGGTGGGATTATATTCATTTGGGGTATGTTTTACACTCATTCTCATATCAGTCCTAACTCCCCTGCCCTTCCCTCCTCTATGCTTGTGCGGGAAAACCCCAACTCGAGTAAAATTCAGCTTCCTTCCTGATCGGTGTCTGCACCCCTGCCGACTCAGTTCTCTCTACATTTATAACCAGTTGCCTAACGGACCCTGAGAGCTGCCGGCAATTCCTACACTTGGCCAACTCCCCCGTAAGATCATCTCCTGGTTTCTCCTCTCCTCTCAAATGTCCAACACGCCGTCCTTCTTCTCAGGGACGATGACCTTGCGTCTTCCTTCAGTGAGCAAATAGAAGCAATGAGACGAGAACGCCCACTTTCTCCCACATTTACCAACCTACCTGTGTTTGCGCCCACACCACACCCTCCCTCTTTACAGGGTTAAATGTCCTTGATCGAATCCAAGGTAAAGACGTCCACCTGTGCACCCCCGGCCCCGCCCTGCAGAAGTCTGGGGTTGGAATGTTCACCACAGCCCTGTTCATATCACCAAAATATCCATCAACAGAAAAAAGGGTAAACTGAGGAGTCCTCCAACAAGGGAGGAATGCATAGCAATGAAGAGACCTGCCCCACACAAAAGCACAGGTGAACCTCACAGATGTAACGGTGAGCCAGAGTTCATATCGTATGATCCTATTTACACAAAGTTCAGAAACAGACAAAACCAACCATGGTGGGAGACTCGAGTCAATGATGGTCTCTAGGGAGATCGTGGTTGGCAGGGGGTGCAGGGAGGCCTCAGGGTTCTGGTGACTTGCACATGGGCCTCGCTCCACAGGTGTGTTTGCTTTGGAAAAGCCTGTGCTTATTTAACCTCCCACGGTCTCTGGGACGCTGTGCCCAGCTCCCTTCTCCAGCTCTGGAATTCTCGCACCCGGAGCTGAGCTCCGTTGCAGTCACGCCCTCTCCGTTGCGAGCCATCCATCGCTATGTAACAGTTCACCTCAGACTTCCAGCAGAAAAGGGACCCAGCTCCCATCTCACAGGGCCGTAGGTCGGAAGCCCAGCCTGGTACGACTGGGGCCCCTGAGAAGGGTCGCACAAGGTGTCAGCCAGGCTGAGATCTCCTCTGGAAGCTCTGGGAAAACGTATTTCCACACGCTCAGGTTGTTGGCAGAAGGTGGCCCCCTGCGCTTGTGGAACTGTCCCCGATCACTGGCTGGTGGCCCCTCGGGAGCACCCGCACCTTCCAGGCAGGAGCAGCTCAGACGCCCTCTCTGATTCTCTTCCGTGACCAGCTGCAGAAAGCCTGCTTTCCGAGGGCTCCCCGACTAGCCCTACCTTATGTCAACTGACCGCCAGAGCCCTCCCTGGCAGCCGGGAGGGGTGCACAGTCGGGGCCATCTCAGGACCCTGCCTGCCACACCCCAGCTGGGGCCCAGCCCACGACAGAGCGCAGAGCACCCCAGTCTCCACCTGGGGCAACTCGGAAGGGTCACCCAGCCCCAAAGCTCCACTGGGATGTGCCTGGGCCTGTTTCAAACCCACTGCCCGATCCCTCCTTCCTCACAGGTGCATCCCCGAGCGTGCCCCCCAGCTGCGCCCACTTCCCAGGAGCTCCGTCCAAGACGGCCCTGCATGATCACCTCTCACCCCAAATCTGCACCAGTGGGAAGCAGACCAGTTGCTATGCAGCCCCACAAAGCGATGCCCTCCAAAACCCATTTCCAACGTGGCTGCCAAGGACAAGGATGTGCCCCTGAGGGCACAGCCAAGCAGAGGGGAGCAGCCCGGGGGCAGGAAAGCGGTGTAACCAGGTAACACGAGCTCTAGGGCCGCAGGGCTTCTTCCCAACAGGCTGTTCTTTTTTCTTCGCGAGGGGCAGCTCGCATCAAGTGCACACATCTCGATGAACTCCTGGCGTACACCTGCCTAACCACCAACACTTCCATAGCCCAGAGGCTCCCCCTCCAAGGGGAACCATCTCTATTATTATAGGTGAATTCTGCATGTTTTCTATTTCAATTAAATGGAATCATACAGTTATGTTTTGTGTCTGCTTTTTATTCAACATGTACCCACTTTTTATGGAGATAGAATTCACACACCATAAAATTCACCATTTTGAAGTGCACAATTCAGTGCTTTTTAGAATACCCCTAAGGGTGTAGAACGTTCCACATGATCTAATTACCTCCCGGGCACTGTCATGCCCCCACCATGTGTCTGCTGACGCTGAGCGCCGCACTGGGGAGGCCACTTGTGTGGCACAGACCTCACGGTGTGCGGCCTCCACTGCGTGAACACACCACCGCGCGCCTTCCTCTCTCCTATCCACCAACACCGAGGGGCTGGCAGCTCGGGCTTGGGGACAGAGCTGCCGTAACTGGTCCTGTGCTTGTCTTCTGGTCGACAGAGGTGCTCGCTTCCGCTGGGTCCTGGGACGCCTTCACTTCAGTGGCCACCAGTTCAGGACGCCCTTGCAGCCTCCACTGGGAACTGCAGCCGCTGTGGACCAGCGACTGCTGTGGGCTTGGGGTTCTTCCCCTTCCTGAGTGGGGGCATCTATGTGGTGGGTGAGGAGACAGCTTTTGGGGAGGCCGGGACTTGTCTGAGTTTAGACTGTGACCACGTGAAGAGGCCCTGGTGCCGGGAGAAGGCCACACACAGAGATCCTGGCTCTGGGCGGGAAGCAGTAACTGAGCGTGACCTGGTGTGGGACCCAGGGTGGCCGATGGGGTAAACTGTGGCAGAGACACACTGCCCGGCGTCCCTGCTTCCTCTGAGTGATTGAAACCCCTCCAGAAATTTTAGTGGACACACAGCAGTGAATGACTTCATTTCCTGAAGTTCCCTGAAGTGAGGTGTGACCCTGTGACTGATTCCAGCTGTGAGACAGGAATGGAAGGGATGTGCGCATGTCACCCGTCTCCCACCCTCTCGCCCACCTGCGGTGACGTATGGTAGGCTCCAGGGCGCTGGAGGGGCAGAGCCACCCACCTGCCTGTGAGATGGAACACGAGAAACCAAGCTTCCTGTTGGAAACACTATTTTTGAATCTGTTACAGCAAAATGAACCCATGCTTAAATACTGCTATTAGACAACGTGACTATTCAGATGCAACGTTCCCTGTGATGATAAAGAAACTGAACCCGCAACCAAGAGCTGACAATGAGGATGAGAAGCTGAGCACAAGTCTATGCGAGGCATTTCTCTCCGTGAGATTTGCAACACAGCTTCCTGGAGCAGCAGCCCTCTTGGGGTGCCCTGTGACACAGCATTTACGACCACTGCCTGGTGACGTTCGCTGAGAATGTTCTTCCGAGTTAAAGGCCCACTAACTTGGTTTAAAATCTTTTCTGCTTATAAAAATTACTTTTAACTAGTTATTTTTTCAAGGTATAAAGGTAAACTATGCTATTCAAGAAAAACTTAAAAAATAACAATAAAATTACCCTTAACCCCACCACTCAGATTACACATGGGCATTTTTCCTCTAGTGCTTTTCTGCACCAATGTATTATGAAATCAGGACCACACTCCTCAGTCTCATAGCCTGTTTTACTTCACTTTTATATCTTGTTAATTCTTAGCGATTAAAAACATAAGATACACATTGTAAAAATATTTCAAGGGGTAAACATAAAATACAGACTATGATAACCCCCAGCAATCCAACAGAGAACCACTGTTAGCTGTTCAGTTTATACACATTCATCCAGACCTCTGATTAAACAAAAACAATGATACATTTACTTAGGTACACACGATTTTCAGATATAAACATGGGATCACACTATACCCATCCACCTGCAACACTTTCTGGCATTCTTCAAGTTCATTCACACAGATGCACCTGGCGTTCTGAGCAGCAGCGCCGCCAGCACAGGCGCCCAGAGGCCCTACTACACACCAGGCGCCACAGGCAGACCATCCCTGTGCCTCTGGTGTCACGAGGAAGGATGCTCCCTGACATATTCTGCCCGCTTCTCTTCCCCAGACAGGTGGAAGGAGTTAGCCAAATGAAACGTTTGAGAGAATAACTAGGCATGCAGCACCCAACCTCTTGGACAAGGTGTCCAGCAGGCAGGACAGTGTCTAACCAGCACTCGCCTGAGAAGTCCAATGTCACTCCAACCTAGGCTTTGACCAATAGTGAGGTGACCTCTCGCTCTTCATGGGCCTCACTGGCGCAGACCTGGGAGGGCAGGAGGGGTGCTACTGATGAGGGTCCCTCAAACCCCAACCAGGCAGTGCTGAACGGGCCTGCATGGTCTCAGGGACACCTCCAAACCTTGTGAGGCAGTTATTACCTCTATTCTTTACTCTACTTCACAGACGCTGAGAAAGTCAGTTACCCAAGGCTGTGAAGTGGCAGAGCTCAGGTTCAGAGCCAGGCCTATCTACCTCCACTGCCCACTTCCCGCTGTTGAAGATTTTTTTCCCTTCCCAACTATGATGTCACTTTTACAGGATATTTTGCTTAGATCAGCTGGGATTAGTATTATAAAAGTAAGCTTAGGGCTTCCCTGGAGGCTCAGTGGTTGAGAGTCCGCCTGCTGATGTAGGGGACATGGGTTCGTGCCCCGGTCCGGGAAGATCCCACAGGCCGCGGAGCGGCTGGGCCCGTGAGCCATGGCTGCTGAGCCTGTGCATCCGGAGCCTGTGCTCCACAACGGGAGAGGCCACAACAGTGAGAGGCCCGTGTACTGCAAAAAAAAAAAAGGGGGGGGGAAGACTTGGTTTTTTGTTTTGGAGGTGATATTTTCTGATTTTTTTGTTCAAAATGACTGTTATACCATCTGAAAACAGGCTTGCATATACTTACAAGAATATAGCTTTAAAAATGTACGCCTTTTCATGATTTTCATAACTTTTTTTAACTTTAGAGGAAGTTTTAAAAATTAAATATACCTTGCTTTGAATAAACATTTATCTTAAATTCAGCAAACTTTCAGTTTCTGCTTAGCTCCTTTTTCTTCTGTGAATTCAAGCAAAATTAAATTGATACTCTTTCATTTAAAGAAACCTGAATGAAATGAACAAAGGAAGTAAAAATACGCCAGACATCTGGTTCCATAACATCCAAGGCTAACGTGGCCCACTCTTCTGTTATATAGAATTTGCTGGACAAAATATAACATGAAACTGTCTAAATACACAGTTGATGCTGAGAGATGGGGCAAGCCTCAGTGCTGCGAATGAAGTGGAAGCTTAGCCTGGGAGTGGAGCCTGTGAGCAGCCCAGAGGGGCTCAGAGATGGTGAGGGGGCAGTGCCCGCTGCAGGCACTAGAAGCTGTCTGCACTGGTGAAAGGGCGTTACAGCCTTGGGCTTACAAGTTAGCCAAGGTCGCTGTCTGCTGCTTACAGCCTAAAGAAAGGAAGCAGGAAGGTTTGCAAAGCTTCACCCTTGGGAATAATGGGAAAAAGAGAGTAAAAAGACACACGAGGAAGACACGGACTAGAGCTCCAGGAGAATTTGCACCTCTGTGCTGCCCTGCAGCCGCCACTGTCATCAACCTGAGCTTCTGCCACTGCAGCCGTGTTGGGGACCGAGTGCCTGGCGTGTGCTTTTCTTCTTTCCTCACAACCATCCATGAGGTTTAGGGAGGTGACTCGTTTAAGGCTGAGCCAGCTGCTAGCTGCTATCTCCTCCTCCCACCCCACCCCATGGCCATTTGGTTTTTGCTGCCAGGGCTCTGCCCAACGATGCCAATGGTCTTCTCCCTTCCTGACAAGTTCAGTGCCCTTTCAACAGTCATCTTCCACAACCCGAGGCAGCACTGGACATGCCTGACAGCTCCTTGAACTGGTTCAAGGCCTCGCCCTGTTCCTGGGTCAGCTGCTTCCCTGAGCACCCCTTCCATCACTGGCTTGTGAATGTGGTCTGGGCCTTCTCAGCTCAGCCTTGCAAGCCCCATCGTCCCCAGGACCTTTCCAGGAGAGTCAGGAATCCATCACCATCACTCCAGGAAGGGCCGGAGCCACCAAGTTAGGCTTGTAAAAGTACAGAGACCCCTCCCCACTCATTTCTCTCTGTATTCTCCATAAGAGGGATGCTGCAGTTATCACCATTATTAAGATACCGTTACAATGTTACATCTACAAGAAGTCCCACCTCTGTGGACAGGAGCAAGGTATCGCCTGAAGACTCGGTTAGATTGGCATCTCTCAGACCCTAGGTGGGCAAAAGACATTTCTGTCATTCATTGGGACTGGAGCTCGGGGAAAGGATGTGCTGCAGAGAGGCTACTGCAGCGTGATGAGCTCTACAGACAAACTGCCTGAGTTCAAACTGGCCTCCAGCTAACATTCCTGGGAAACCACAGGCATGCTACTCAGGCCCTGAAGATCCCATGACCACCATGCAGCCACTGCATGAGGGGGTAAGACGTCCAGGACATCAGCAGAGACGCCCACCGGGTTCAGATACGACTCTAGAAAGGGAGCCTTCAGGGGAGAGCTGGGACAGCGCAGCCCATCACCTCTCCCCACCTGGGAGTTCTCCTTCGGGACCAGGGCTGGAGGGGATCCTGTTCATCACTTCTACCCCCGCCAGGGCAGAGGTGCCGGCTCTGCATCTCCTCCAGCACAAAGAGGCTCGAGGCCCCGGCCACTTCCCCAGCATCATTTGGAGAGCTCCCTTGGACTCCTGGGAGAGGAGGCAGGCTTAGAGCAAAACAGTAGTACTAGCCGCACCTGTGTCCCCCACCCCGCGCCAGGCCACCTCGGAAGGGCTGGTGGGCTTGAGAACTGCGACACAGACGCTGAAGCTGGAGGCTCTACGGCTTGGGTGTGTGACCCCTGGAGCCAGAGAAAGGAACCAAGAGAGTGCAACCGGGTATTCACCCACACGACGTTCCTTAGGGAGAGAAGCTGCGGGCCCCGGGCCGGACTGCAGCCCAGCGGGGGCGGCCGTGACGGCTGCCAGGAGCCGGGCTCACCGTGGCCCAGGCTCCGGGACCCCCGTGCGGGCCGACCGCGCTCAGCCCGCCCGTCCGCCCGACCGGAGGACCCTGCCGCCCCCGCCCCCGCCCGCGGCCCGGAACGCGCCACTCACCCGGCGCCCAGCGGCGAGAGGACGGCGCGCGCCCCGCACGCGGACCGCTGGCCGCCCGCCCCGCTGGCCTGCTGACAAAGCCCGCACGGCCGCCCGCACGCCGCGGCCGGAAATCGGCCCGAGGCCCCGCCCGGGGAGCTTCCGGTGCCGCTCTAGGCGCGCAGAGACCAGCCGGTCTCTCGGTGGTACGGACCTCCGGCCGGCCGCGGGCTGCAGGGAGCCCGGCAGGGAGCCGGGCAGGGGGCAGAGCAGGACGGCATCTCCCGCGCCCTCGCAGCCTTGAGCGCCGCCTGCCCGCCAAGTGTGAATGGCTGACAGGGGTTGTGTCTCCCGGGAGCTGTAAATGCTGGCGTTGAGAACCAGGCGGAGCTCCCGGCGCCCAGCGGCCCCGGGCCCCAGGGCGTGCGTCCCCCCTCCACCTTCGGGCACGGGCCGGGGGCCGCTCCTCAGAGAGGCGAGGCCTGGTGTGGCGCGGGCCGCCGAGGGCTTCCGCCTCCTTCCCGTGGCGGGCAGCGCTTCCCGAGCCTTCCCGCAGAGGCTCACTCCAAGCCCACGAGGAATGTCCTCCAACATCGTCCTTCTACGGACCAGGGACTGAAGCTGGAGAAGCCAGGTCACTTCCTCGAGGTCACACAGCTAGTGAGTGGCCAGGCCGACCGCCTCGAGGGCCACGCTTCTGCCCCGGCCGTGCGTTTGGTCCTGCGGGAGCAGGAATGGCCGCTGGGGACAGTCGCGGGAAATCCCGCTGATTCCCGCCCCCCACCCCACCCCACTCCCCCACCCCACCCCCACCCCCACCCCCGGGTGGAAGAGCATGCCTCCAATTTCCAAACCCAAAGCCGAGCAAAACACAATCCAGCTGCACCTGGGGAAGGGCAGTATTCACAAGCACCAGCTCTGTCAGGGGGTGAGATGCAAGGAGCAAGCAAGGGGGTCATTACAATAAGCAGTGCCAAAGAGGGGCCCTGGGCCCTGAGGAAGTGCTCCTGGCCGCCACCGGGAGCACACACACACCTCTCTGCACAGCAGGGAAAGCTTCTTGGAGGAGGAGGCCTGAGAGGGAGAGGGATGTCTCTTAACAAAACATGGACAAGATCTGTATGCTGCAAATTAAAAGATGATAATGAGGGCTTCCCTGGTGGCGCAGTGGTTGAGAGTCCGCCTGCCGATGCAGGGGACGTGGGTTCATGCCCTGGTCCGGGAGGATCCCACGTGCCGCGGAGCGGCTGGGCACGTGAGCCATGGCCGCTGAGCCTGGGCGTCTGGAGCCTGTGCTCCGCAACGGAAGAGGCCACAACAGTGAGGCCCGCGTACTGCAAAAAAAAAAGAAAAAAGATGCTGATGAAAGAGATCAAAGAAGAACTAAATAAATGGAGACATTATCGTATTCATGGACTGGAAGACTCAACATAGTAAAAATGTTAATTTTCCCCGAATTAATCTAAAGGTTTAATGCAATTCCTATCGAAATTCCAGAAAGAATTTTAGTAGACACAGATAAGCTTATTCTAAAATGTATATGGACAGGACAGGCCTTAGAACAGCTTAAAAATTCTTGAAAAAGAAGAATAAAATGGAAGGACCACCACCTGATATTAAGACCTACAATATTGCTGCTGTAATCAGGACAGTGTGGCATTGGTGGGGGGATAGACACCTAGGTCTATGGATCAGAATAAAGAACCAGGCACATATCCCACACAGATATGCCCAGAGGACTTTTGACAAAGGTACAAAAGCAATTCAATGGAGACTTCAATTAATAATAACATCAGTGTCGGCTCATCAATTGTTTAAAAAAAGAAAAGAAAAGTAAAACAGCCAAACTTGTATTTTTTTGTTGTTAAACTTTCGTCAGTATTATTAATAAGCAGCAGTCCCTCTCAAATACCTGTGGGTGGCGCAAAGTCAAGAGAAATTTCATTTTCTACTCAAGACCAAGATTTGCTCTTTGAGAACGTTACGTTGTTTTGCTTAACTTTTTAGGTTCTTCTAGAATCTAAATTAAATCTACTTTCTTTGAAGCACTTACCATTCCCATCACATGTCCAAGGGCAGCTACAAGGTCATATGTGACATGTTTTTCCAAGATGTTTCATCTTTGGGCGAATCCAGAAAATCTTGCATATAATCTTTTGATTGTTCCAGAGAATGTTATCATGATCAGCACAATTGAGGTCAGGTCTCCCAGTGACATGACACATAACACAAAAAAATGCTTCTAGATTTTTGGCCAAAAGTCTGACTTCTACACAGCTTTACCTTCTCTAACCATGTCAGTGCCAGTAGCACCTACTTGCCCTCGGTAATTTTTTAAATCAATGCCTAAAATGGTAAGTTTCTTTTTTTCAGTCCTTTCCTTAAGTTAAATGAGTGTTTCATCTAGACCAACCTATATGCGAATTCAAGAGAAGTGTGAATTAATATTACAAAATATTTCTCAGCCACTATTGCAAGTACTGCACTAATTCCTGAGTACTGCTGGAATCGTAGATTGGAACGGGAAGAGCAGCAAGAAAGATCCGACCCATTAGTTAATTTATCTTTTTTCATACCTAAGTGCCTCCACTGCTCAACTTCCCCTGCACAACCCACAGATCTTTGTGGTCTTCAAAAAATTCTCTTAAGAGGGGACTTCCTTGGTGGTCCAGTGGGTAAGACTCCACGCTCCTAACGCAGGGGGCCCAGGTTCAATCCTGCATTGCCACAACGAAGAAGTCCACATGCCGCAACTAAAGATCACACATGCCGCAGCTAAGACCCGGCACAGCCAAAATAAATAAATAAATATATTTTTAAAAAATTCTCTTAAGGGGATGAAAAGGCAAGCTGCAGACTGGAAGAAAATATTTGCAAATCACATATCTGAAACGTATTTGTATCTGGAATATAGGAAGAATTCTCTAAATAGTAAGAAAACAAATAATTCAATTAGAAAATGGATAAAAGATTTGAACACACAGTTCACCAAAATATATATATACAGATGGCAAATAAGCACATTAAAAGATATTCAACATCATTAGCCATAAAGGGAAATGCAAGTTAAACCCATAATGAAATATCTATCAGAACACATCTCTCAGAATGGCTAAAATTAAATACAAATAGTGACAACAGTAAATGCTGGTAAGGGAGTGGATCACTTCTACGTTGCTGGTGGGAACATAAAAAAGAATTCTAGAAAAGAGTTAGGCAGTTTATTGTAAAGTTAATCATATACTTGCCACATGACCCAGCAATTGCATTTATTGGGTATTTATCCTACAAAAATAAAAAAAGGTATGTTCACACAAAAGCCTGCACCTGAATGTTCATAGCAGCTTTATTCACAACTGCCAACTGTCCTTCAACAGGTGAATGAACAAACAAACCCAGGTCCATCCACACCGTGGGAAACAACTCTGCAACCAAAAGGAACAAACTTTTGATGCAACATGGGCGGATTACAGGGCATTATACTGAGTGCAAAAGCCAGTCTCAAAACGCTGCATGCTGTATGGTTCCAGTTATACGACACTCTTGCGGTGATGACATCGTAGAACCAGGCTGGTTCCCAGGAGTTAGAGTTGTGGGGAGGTGTGACTATGCAGAAGCACCGTAAGGGCGTTTCTTTGTGGTGATGGAGAAGGGCTGTGTCCTGATTATGGTGGTGGTTACAAGAAACCATACATGTGACAAAATTTCAAAAAACTACACACCCCCTCCCAAAATAAAGAGTGTGTGCAAAACTGATGAAATCGGTTAAGGTCTGTACATGAGTTAATACCATCCTCAATTTCCTGGTTTTGACAATGTAAGATGGTTTTTTTTTGGAAAAGCTGAATGAAAAGAACATGGGACCTCTCTGTAGTACTTTGCAAATTCTTGTGAGTCTAAAATTATTTCAAAATAAAAAGTTGAAGTTAAAAAAACAAAACATAGGGCTTCATTGGTGGCGCAGTGGTTGAGAGTCCACCTGCCGATGCAGGGGACACGGGTTCGTGCCCCGGTCTGCGAAGATCCCACATGCTGCGGAGCGGCTGGGCCCGTGAGCCATGGCCGCTGAGTCTGCGCGTCCGGAGCCTGTGCTCCGCAACGGGAGAGGCCACAACAGTGAGAGGTCCGCGTACCGCAAACAAAAACAAACAAAAAAAACCAAAACAAACAAAAAAACCCATAAGTTATACTTAATGAGTATAAAGATGTACAATAAAAAATTATATAGGGCTTCCCTGGTGGTGCAGTGGTTAAGTATCCACCTGCCAATGCAGGGGACACAGGTTCGATCCCTGGTCCGCGAAGATCCCACATGCCATGGAGCAACTAAGCCCATGCGCCACAACTACTGAGCCTGTGCGCCACAACCTCTGAAGCCCGCGTGCCTACTAGAGCCCATGCTCTGCAACAAGAGAAGCCACTGCAATGAGAAGCCCACGCACCGCAACGAAGAGTAGCCCCCGCTCACCGCAACTAGAGAAAGCCCACACGCAGCAACAAAGACCCAACTCAGCCAAAAATAAAATAAATAAATTGTAAAAATTATATAAGTGAAAAATGTCCATATTTAATTATAACTATTTTAAAAAATACATTTGAAAAAATTGTACAGTGACCACTCATGTACCCAGCATCCCGTTTCTACCGTTATTGCCTTGCTATATTTCTTTATCATGCATTTATTCTATTCATCTGCATACCTATTCTGTCTACCCATTCATCTTATTTTTTGGTGCATTTCAAAGTAAGTTGCAGACATTAGTAAAATTCAATCCTAAATAGTTCAGCATGCAGATCACTAACTAACTAGAGTTCAATATAGTTAGAGGAGACATTTTTAGGTAAAATTTATACAGTGAAATGCACGTCTTACGTGTACCCTTGCGTGAACTTTGACATACGCAGACCCTTGTGTCACTCAAACCCCGATGTACGTCAGGAGCATCACCATCACCCCAGAAAATTCCCTCAAGGCTCTGCCCAGCCGATGCCCCCCGAATCCTAAAGACACAAACACTGCCCTCATTATCTTCACCATAGATCGGTTTTCCCTGCTCTTGGGATTTAAAGCTGAAATGTTGAAATTTAATTTTTTGAAAATTTAATTTTCATTAAATATGTTTATAAACATAAAACATTTGCAATGCGAGGGTTCAGTGTCCGTCTAGTTGCCAAGGTAAAAAATCGGTATCAGGCTGAGTGCATGCAATGTCTAGACCTACAAATATACATGCTTATGAGGAACATGAATTCCTTGATAATGCAAAATGTACAAATATTATGAATACTACAGGAATTTGTGAGGACCTCTGAAGCCAGGAACTGCAGCATGAAGATGTAACAGTCTGCATTCTTAGACCTTTGAGTGCTGGTAGCTTTTAAGCCTCACCTCTCCCTCTTCTCTTTGCCCCACATCTGGGCAAGTGGATGGGAAAGGCTGGGTGCCCCCTCCAAATCCCTGCCTGCAAGTGGGAACCGTCAACCTGGCCCACCCCCTAACCATGATCAAACCCCAATCTAGTCTTCTTTGCTTGCTTTCTCAAGCCATTTTCGGAGGGCTGCCCTGCTGTCCCCAGAAAAGCCTCCTTATGTAACTAGTAAATCTTTTCATACCTTCTTGGTGTGTGTGTGGCATCATAAGTCCACATCACAACCAATTTTTTTGTGGGGTCTATTCTGTCCCCGCAGCGTGATTGCTACAGAAGAGAAGCAAGAGTAGG